TGCACCTTGCCACATCACATCCTTCCCAACACAGCCCTCTCCCGGCAGGGAGACCTCCCAGAGGAAGAGGATGACTTCCCTCAAAGAGGCCACGGGGGAGGGCAGCCAGTTCCCATGAGCTATCACTGGCCTTTCCAGCTCCCTCTTTGTTGTACCCTTCACCGAACTGCCCTCCAAGGAGGGCCACCCTCCTTCCCTGGGACATGGGAGCACTCACCAGCACAAGACTTGGACTTCACGATCTTCAGCAGCAGAATAATGATGGCCAGCAAGTGGGAGACATCCCCCAGGATGCGGAAGATGTTCATGGTGCCGGGGGGACTCCTCTGGGGTGAAGGGAGTGGGGCTCTTTCTGCAGGCAGGGAGGGTAAGCGTGGGGAGTTTTTCTCCACCGAGCCTTGACTGAATGAACTGTCTCCTTCAGTTCAACTTTCCTTTTTCCCTGAGCACAGAGCCCTTCCTTCCTGCAGCGCAAAGTTCAGTCTCCCCTCTCCCGTGGCTGCAGATGCCTTTCCCCTGCCAGGCTGGATGTCTCCCTTGTTTTCTTTTCCACCGAGGTGGATTCTCCCTCTCCCAGCCTGGGGCCTTCCTCTCTCTGCTTTGGGCTGAAAGTTGGAGTTTATCTCCCGGAGAGCTCTCCAGGCTGAGCAGTCCCGAAGCCAGTGCTGGGTGACGGTGACGTGGCTCCTGGCTGGCCGGGGAGGAGAGGGAGGAGGAGGCAGAGGCGGGAATAACTGCGCTACTTTTCCCTTTTTCTTTTTTTTTCCTTCCTCTTTTTTCTTCCCCTGCTTGTCTCAAGTTACACGCGGAAGTGTGGTTAAAGGGGAAAAGGCAGAGGGAATAGGATTCCCATCCTCTGGCCTTGAGGACACACCCTCCGGGGAGGGCCAGGCTTTCTAGGAGTATTCACCATGAGTGCAGTAACCTCTGTCCTGTTTCCAGTCTGCAGCCTTCTGCTCTCTGCCCTTCCCGGACACATCCCACCTCCAGCGCCTTCTCACCAGCGCTCTGCCTTGTCTCCTGGAGCCAAGGAAGAAGTGGAGAGATGTTTGAATTATCAAGCCATTGTGGCTCTTCCACAGATGCTCATGGGCAGCCATTCCCCGGTGTCTGCCCCAGCAGGCACCCCTTCCTTCAGGTGCCCTGTCTGGAACAGTGTGGATCCCTGAGCACAGCCCCGCTGAAAACAAAAGTTCCTCCCAAGGGCTGCTTTGAAACAAACTTCACTGGAAATATTAATCCTGGATTCCTGCGAGAGGGTTACAAATAATGTAGGGAATGTGTTGAGTGAAAGAAGCACGTGGTTGCTGCTGGTTTTACAGATTTCACAGAAATGAACTCAGTAGTGGCTGTTAGAAAGTTTTAATATATTTGAAAACATATTAAGCTGGGTGGCTGGTTTTTTTTGGATGAATCTTGTCCTTGGAGCAGCAGTTACACAGGGAGATCTCATGGCAGCAGCGGGGGGCACCTCTGCATCAAGACCCAGCAATTAGATAGTCGATATCTAATCACTAATTTAAAGTTACTTTAGTACAACCAAATGGAAGCTTTAATTTTTCTCCTTGTCCCTGAGGGAATCACATCTGGCCATGGGTCTAATTTGGTTGCTCTTGGATTGTGTGATCCTGCCTGCTCCTGTCCCAAAGCTGCCTCTGGCTGCTGCCCTTCCTGTCCCCAGCCATGACCTGTGGCCATCCCCTACACATCTCTCTCCGTCCTTATGGACTTGCTAGGAGTAAAATCCTTAACAACCAAAGTGTAAAAATATTATTCCTGGTGCTTTCTGAGAGGATTAACAAGCCTATTAGCATCACCGGATCCCTTTCTGAATATATTTGCATACATTTCCTCCCTGCCCATTAGGTTGGCGGTTGTGTTTTCCCTCTCTGACGCTCCAGCACCTGCATCACAGGGCTTTTCCAGATGGATTCACAGGCTGGGTTAGAAAACACCTGCTCGGCCCCACGAGATTGGAGACATCCCTGCCTGTTCCCAGCCAGGGCACTGAGGCAGGGGTTGGTGAGGTGGGACAAGGGTGGATTAGAGCAAAGGAGACGATTGGCAAAGGGTAGGGACTGCCTGAACTGGTTTTCCAGACATCAGAGTGGAGCTGCCTGGGATCTCAGCCGGGCTTTGCAAGGCCACGTGGGTGCCTTGGTGAAAGCCAAGCCCTGGCCCTGGTGGCCCTGCAGGTCCCTGGTATTTCAGGTCCTTTTGCAGGTGGGCAAGGAGTTTTGACCCATGGAGCAGGGATGTAAAGTTGGGGGGAGGGAACAGATTTGGGGTCTTCTCTTCCAAGAGATCCCCTTCCAATCCCCTAGTGTGCAATGTCTGAGAGCCCTCGCCTTTTGTCCCTGCACTCCTCTTCGCAGCTTCTTGTCTCGCCCAAGGAAAGAAGCCCCCTGTAGTGAGGTGGCAAAGGTTTATTCTCCTCATCTTGCACCTTCCTAAGAAGAACTGGTGGGCTCCAAGTCCCAGCATTATCTCCCACTGTGGCACCAGGAACCAGCAGCTGAGGTGACCATCAGAGGGACTTCACAGGAGCAGCAGCCCAATCAAGCCCACCCACCTGGAACGGGGTGGTAGGGCTGGGACATCCCTGTCCCCATGGGACATCCCTGTGTGGCACATGAGGGCCACAGAAAAGCTACTGCAGGGCAAGGGACACCCAGGCTCTTAGAGAAGAAAAAACTGGCACGTGGAGTGGGACCAAGTAAAAATAAACCTTCCCTCCTCCCGCCCTGCCACAACACTGAGCGCCTTGCGCCGGGTGTCTCCCTGCCTCCCAAAATAATGCCGGGTGCTGCCACCACCCCGCGTGGTGATGCTCTCTCCATGCCTCCCGTTTCCATGGTGACCACAAGGAATGTCGCCAGGGTGACAAGGAGGCAAGTGAGCTGGGATTTGATATTAAAAATGAGATTTTGGGGTTGTTTGGTTTATTTTTCTCCCCCCCCCCCCATTCCCTCCTCCTTTAGTTCTATTTTTGAGGTTTCCCTCTCTGTCTCTGCTGGTCTGGAAGGCTCCTCCTGCAGAGTCCCTGGGCCAGGCAGCAGCAGCTTCATCCAGGGCCCTTCACCACCTCCACCTGTCCAGTGAGGTGATGGCTATGGGAAGAGAAGAGGCACAAAAGGGCATTTCCTTATCACTAAAACATTTGTTTTCTTCTATCAGGAAGGCTTCTGTGCTTTTGCCCCTGGTGGTGCTCCAGGTGTCTCCATTCCTGCTGCAGGATGTAGCTCAGGCTGCATCCAGACCTCCTGGGAGAGCGGGCAGCCTCAGGGATTTGTCTAAGAGAGGGAAATGATCCTGCATTCCCAGAGGGGCTGGGAAACATGGTGGGGTTGAGCACCATGGGCCACCTCTGTATCTCACCATCTCTGCCCCCATGACCAGGTCAGGTTGGCTGGGCAGTTCTGGAACACTGGGGACAGAGATGGGATGGTTGGAGGAAGACTGCAGTGGGAGCGTGGCAGGCACTAAGGACTCCAAAACTTTGTTCTCTGGTTTAAGCATCCAAAGTCAGACCTGCTCAGCACAGAGACAGCTTGAGGGTTTGTGCTGGCTTAGCTGGTACCACAGGAATGCAGGACCACGGGTGTCCAAGCAGGGGCAGCTGGCATAGAGGTAGCTCTTCTCTTCATGCCCAGGCAGGAGAAGGGGCAGGCAGCATTTTCTCACCTTCCCAGAGCTCTTGCTTTTCACTGCACCCATCTCTCCATCCATCTCCAGCCATCCTTCTCTCTCTCTCTCTCTCTCTCTCTCTCCATTCTTCCCTCCATCTTTCCAACCATCCCTCCCTCCTCCTCTCTCCATTCACCTCTCCATTCATCCCTCCAAAGATTCCCCTGTCCATCTCTGGGACTCTCTTTGCCTCCTTTCATCCATCCCTTTATCCATCCCTCGTTCCATCCCTCCATCCCTCTGCCTCCCTCAATCCCCACAGCGGCACTGGGAAAGGTTGGCGGAGTGGGGCTATTTTTGGGAGCGTCTCCCTGGCAACGGCTGCCACCACCGTCTGTGGTGGCTTTTACATAGGTGCTAAAATATTCCACACTTCTTATTAAAGACGGTGCTGGTGGAGACGGGCGGGGGTGGCGAGTGTGAGCCACCCCGCTGCTGGGGCCGGCGGCCATGGGGCGGTCAGGGCGTGGCACTTGGGGGGCACAAGGACAGCAAGGGGCCGGTGACGTCTTCAATGTGGCATCCCCATGTCCCTCTCACAGCTCTGGAAGTGCCACCTGTCTCTTGGCAGTGCCAGGCTGCCACACCACGTGCGAGGTGCAGCCGTCCGTCCTGCTGCTGCAAAGGCAGAGGGAAATGTGGTGAGGCCTCGGGGGGAGACAGCAATGAGGAGCAAAAGGCAGAGAGGGCAAAACCCGAGCTGAAGCTGAGGTGGCCTCAGGGCTGCACTTGGTGGCTTTGCTTGCTCTGGGAAGGAGCAAGATGTCTCAGCCCCATCTTCATCCCTTCACCACATGAAGAGGAAAGACCAGAGGGATGGTACATTTTGCCAAAGAGCAGCTGAGCAGATTCTGGTCAGTAGCTCTTGGGAAGCAGCCCCACAGGCGCTAGAGACAGAGCTTTCGGGAAAGTAAGAATCCCTCTGAACCTGAACGAGGTCTTCATAGGGATGGCTGCAGAGGGGATGGACAGGCTGGCCCTGCTCCATCCAGGTGCAACAGCTCCCCAGGAGCAGCCATGGGAGCACTGGGGTGAACTGACCCTTCAGGAGGCTGATGCGCTCCTGGTTTGCAGCTGCTCGCCTACATGGAGCGACTGAAGCCACCCTCTGCTGCCCTGGCAGTGGCTTTGCCAGGTGGGATCAGGCTGTGCTCACCACAGCTGTGCTCACTGGTGCTGGCGGGGCACAGCAGCCTCCACAGCACGTTGTGCAGGGTCATCCCATGTGCCACATCTTGGGAGGATTTTGGGAGAGAGGGTCATAATCCTTGCAGGATTTGGGCCCGGAGGAGACTCAAAATATGGGTTTTTTTAATATTTTTTGACTTTTCAGCAGAGGCACAGCAGATGAGACACCAAGACGGAAACCACGTCCTCAAAAACACCATCCTGGAGCAGGGGTCCCCAGGACCCTGTGCTTCCAGCCACTGCCTGCGTGGTCAGGGCTCTCTTTAGCCTCTGGCTTTGTGGCAGCAGAGTCCCCTGCCTTCTCTCCTTGCCACCAAGAAGTGACCTTTTTATAGCCGCTGAGATGCTGCTGGCCATGGAGACCCAAAAGAGGTTTCTCGGACAGGTTTCCCGGCAGGACGGCCGTGCAGTATCCCGGAGCCCTGAGGGCTGGTCCCTCCATGCCCACGCTCCTGTCCCAGCATTACTCATCCCGGCAGCAAATCACCAGCTCTGTAGAGTGGGGAGGCAATGCCCCACAGCTGGGAGAGCCTGGTCCTTCCGCACGGCCAGGTGTCAGCCCAGCACCCCAAATCCAGGTGGGGAAAGACCCTCTGCCGGTAGTTATTTAATCTCTGTGCAGCAGCCCGGGAGGAGGATTCACCTCCTCGGGGGCACCTGGCGGCCCCGCCATCCCCTTCCCGCTGCCCGTGGTTGCTGTGTCTCCCCCATGGCGGCTCCGCAGCTCTGAGCTCACATGCGAGGATGGGCTAAAGTAGCGGAAAGCTGTTGGATCCTACCACGGAGTTACTGACTTCTCAGCTACAGACTGCATAGCAATCAGCGAGGGGGAGAGGCAGCCAGGGAAAGGGAGCGGAGCGCAAAGGGAGGAAGGGTGTCGGGGAGAGGGGGGATCTGGGGACTAGAGCAGGGGGGCAGCAAGGGGCACGGGCAAATAATGCCAGCGAAGGAGGGAGCCAGGCAGGAGGGGGAGACCTAAACCCGTCGCTGAGCCACGAAGGCACATCAGCACTCCGTGGGATGGACGCTCCTGGGAGCAAAAAATTCTGAGAGGCAGAGGCAGAAGGAGAGCGCTGGCGTGGGCAGGGCAGAGTTAGGAGAAGAGCAGGTCGCAGCGGAGAAGTAGCTCTTCGGAGGGGGAAAAAAATAAACCTAGGCTGGAGGCGAGCGAGGACTGCAGAGAGACTTCCCTGATTCCTCCGGTCCGGCTGAAGCATTTCATGGTGAGATGGAGAGACCGGCCGCTTTTCCCTTGCTCTGATGTTGGCTCGGCACGGCTGGAGCAGGCGGCAGGACCCGGGTAAGAGGCGGTGCCGGGGAGCGCTGCTCTCCCCACCGGCATGAGAGCGGGAAGGGGTTTTTCTCCCTTAGGAAAATAATGTATTATTTCATTTGCGTTCGCTCGGAGGAACAGCTATAAATATAACTTAGGGAGAGATGCGTGGCTTCGTGTGAGCGTGCCAGTGAATAATAAAGTTGCCTTGTGTGCATGGCGTATGCACGTACAGCTACCGGGGCGGCCGCGGGCCGAGGGGCAGGGATGGGCTCCTGCCTCTAAACCTCCCCAACTTCCCTCCCCGCCCCCTTGCCACCCTGACTTCGGTCGCTTTGCAGGTAACTTCTTCATTTTTTCAGTTCCCCGTGTTTTCTTAGAGCCTTCTCGCCCTGGGCTGGGTCCTGCTCACCTTTTGCTTCTGCTCTGTAGATTCTTCTCTGTGCTGATCCCGGCCAGTTCGTAGCGTAAAAGGCAGCTGGAGACCTCCTCTCCAAGCTGCCGGGTGCAAATGGGGCTGAAGTGGATGTGTTTGTTCTCCTGCTGCCTGCGGAGCTTTTTGGGCTCCAGACCTGCCCCCCTCTCCCTTGCCTTCCACCTCTCCTAGTCCCGGCGCGGCCGATCCTGCCGGTGGCGGTCCAACACCCCCCAGACAGGCACAGTGCAAAGGCTCTTCTGGACAGTGGGTTTGGGTGAAGGGGATCGGGAGAAAGCCGTGAGCAAACTAGCAGAGAAACTCCGCCTTTGCTCCCTGTTGACAAGGTCGGCTTCCCCACCGGGGCAGGAGTGGGCAGGCAGGTTTTGCATGGTGTTGGCAGATCACCTCGGATATCCCTGGCCCTTAAGCCCCTAAGGCCCTCCCTCCTGGGCAAATCTCCTGAAGTCATCCAAATCCTTCTGGCAGGAGCCTGGAGTTTCCTATCCCTGCTGCCCAGCCCCGACTCCATCGGTGGCAAAGCAAACAGCAGCTCTGGGGCTGCTCCCTCGTCCCCTTCCTCCCCTTGGGGGGTGGGCTGTGAAGGGCAGACAGTGACAGCGCACACAGGAACGCGTGGCAGAGCTGACACGGCTCCAAGGCTACCCTCAACCCCTGCTCTGTGCCCTCCCTGGCTTCTCGGGAGGAGTCATCCACAGGAGGTGGGAGGTGCGGAGATGAGCCCAGGGCTCGGGGTTAGCCGGAGCCTGGGAGGAATCAGGCAGGTGCATGGGGAATACATCTTGACGGAGATGTAGGAACGTGTCCCTTCTCCATTCACCACCAGAAGTGGCACCCACAGAAGCCTGAGACACCCCGGCAGTGCGTGGCCACTCCTGTTTGCAGCCACTGAAAATAATAATCACTACAGGGCAAATACGTGCCTTAGGGGGAAACAGGAACCCGCTGGGGACTAGGAAGGGGGACGAATGGTGAGGATGGCCACAGAGAGGATAAGCTGGAGGGAAGTGGGTTCCCTCTCCTCCACCTTTTTTTTTCTCCTTCCACCTTCCCCCCTGGTTGGGAGCTACGATCAAGTGCCCCGACGTGTGGCAGGCAGTGGTCCTTGCCCCTTGCAGTCGCCCGCCACGGTTGGCAAGGAAAACCGGAAAGCGAGGAAGTGGCTGGGGTGGGATGGAGTTACTTGGCACGGCCAGTCCCCACTGGCCGCTCCAGCCTCTCGGCCACCCCAAGCTCAGCCATCGGCCACGCCCGGGAAGCAGCTGCCTCCCCGGGGTGGTGTCAGTGACAGGAGGGTGCCAGCAAGGGGGAGGAGGGCACGGTGACGGACACCTGCGCCCGCCGAGCACTGACATCAGCGCGGACGCAGAGCGGAGCACTTAATGGCCCTCTGCCCTCAGCAAGCCCCTCCATCCCTCCTCTCGTTACTGTGCTGGGCTGGCTTAACCCGGCAGCGCGGCCGGGAATCGATAGATGGATGCTGGCGTCTTAGCAATCGATCCCTTACTCATCCACGCGGCTCCCAGCCTCCCGCTGGCGCTCGCTTTTCTGTGAATGGCACGGGCTGAGTGAAGCCGTCTGCGCTTGCCTCGCAACGCTGCGAAACTGAGTCAGGCTAAATTCCTGCTCCTTGACGTCACCGCTCCTGTGCCCCTTACCAGGGCGGAGAGGCCTCACAGGGAACCCCCAGAGGCACCGCTTTTCCTCGCCGGATAAGATGGTTTTAATGGAGATGGTTGGGATTGGAGCCCCTTCTCGGGAGAGATGCTGATTCTCCGGCAGAGGGGAGCTTGGGACGGGCAAGGGCTGCTATTGAGCTGGTTCTCCTCCTGAGACCTCTGAGGCTCGTTCTCCGGCGGTGAAGGTGGTGCCGTGGCTCAGGCTGCTGAGGGACGGGAGCTGCCTGCAATGTGACCCTGTCCCCGCGGCCCCAGAGACCCGTGCACCTCCGAGTCTGTCCTCCTGGGAGCCGGGCAGCAGGCAGCTTCCTTCAGGGACAGTTTTGGCATTCATCCGCTGGTTTATTTGAGGAGGAGATGCCCACCACCTCCTGGCACCAGCCACGCTGGCACAGCAGCAGCATTGCTGCTCTCATTGGAAATTAGAGAGTGGAGGGTGGAGAACAAGACACTCTCCAGCCCGGCACCTCCCCACGCCGCCAGCCAGGGGCTCCTGCCCACGCTCCTGCCACCATGGCAGTGGGTCTGCCCCTCACAATCTGGACGGTTGTTTTATTTCTATGGCAACATTTCTCCTGAAACACTTCAGAGGGAGCCTGTTGGATAACGAGGGAAGCAGCGTCCCCCATTCTGTCCCCTGCAAAAGGTTCAGAAAAACGACCTTGACACCTCTCCCCATCTCCTTCCCTCCCTGGCGAGCGGTACCAGCACTGGTACAAAGAGCTGCTGGCCTTGTCCCAGCTGCCTCTCCGCTGCCTCTTCTCCTTTCCCCTGCCTTCAGCTTTGCTCTCCCCTTGCCCCTTGCCGGTTCCCTTTCTGCTGGCAGCCTGCTGAAGCACCCGCGCGGACTGACCAGCTGAAAGGAGTCTCAGAGCAAGTGGATGCCGAAAGCGGCTCTGCTGTAGAGCAGGGTAAAGCCCCGGGAGAGCTGTAGAGCTCGGCCCCGGCAGCCCCCGGTGAGTGCGGGGGCTGAAGGGCACTGGGGATCCCAGAGGCTGGGCACACAGGCGCTTCATCCCTCTGAAAAGCTCGATGGCATTACGAAGAGGCGGTGCCTGCCACGGGACCAGACTCAGCGGCCCCAGAAGTCCTCTCCTCTCCTGTTCCCGTTGTTGGCAGCACCGAGAAACAGGCTCGTGTCTGTGTGGAGGTGAGCAGGCAGAAGTTGCGGGCAGCAGCGAGTGCCAGCAGGCGACAGGCGACAGGCAGGTGAGCAGGCAGGGTGCCAGCGGGAGCGACTGTGGCAGGCCGGAGGAGCAGGGGTGTGACAGCAGCCCGTAGTGATGGAGGGAGGGATATCGCAGTCCTGGCAGTGAGTGTGCAGATGCAGCCCCGCTTCGCACTGCTCCTCCGCAGCCCGAGCCTGGCCGCGGTGGCAGCCGCTCCCTGCCGGAGAGCTGGGGGGCAGGGGAAGGAGGGGGCAGTGGTCCCCCGTACTGTAGCGGGAGATGGGCAGCACTTAGGCTCGACGCCTTCCAGGTGTGTTTGTTAACCCCGACGGATCAAACCGCAGCAATACAACTCGCCAAACCTGTAGTGAAGTACTTGATCCGCTCTCGGTGGGAATGCGGTTTTGCAGCTTACCTGGGATGCTCCCTCTGCTCCGTTTTTGGTGCCAAGCAGGCATGGCTGAAAGGGGAGAAGCTGGGGCCTTTCAGGAGGCTCATGGTTCTGCTCAGCTCGCTGTGAGCATAGCGACAAGGGGGCTGAAGGGGGATTTTTTTCCCCCTGTCACTGATGGGCTAGTGCTTAGCAGCCAGGCCGGGCTGGCAACTCAGCTGTGGTGCAGCAGCTGGGTGCAGAGAAGTGTCTGCAGCCTCTCTCGATCGGGGGCTTGGTGCAGAGCAGGCTTTGCCCTGCTTATTGCTTGGCCTTGCTGCTGTTACTATTGCTATCATCATTCATGAACTATTTGCAGGCACCTGCCTTGCTTGGTGCTTGGCAGAGCCACCGGCAGTTCATCCCTGCCCTGTCAAGAGCACGACTGCAGCAGGCAGGCAGATGATGCGAGCCACCCTTGCCCCCCTTTTCCTGCACGCCGATAATTATCCTTGTCTCCTGACTAGCCAAAAGCCATCAAGACACCCCACATGGCCAGGCACTTTGTGCTGAAGGGATGCTGAGGCACAGGGATGCTGCCGGGAATGGCCTTACATCAGGGCTCCCACAGGGCAGTGAAGGGAGTTCCAGGGATGTGTAGATTAGTGAGGCCACCCTTTGCACTGTAAGGTTGTGCTGGGAAGCTGGAGGAGGTGACCTGAGTGCACTGCATCTGCCTGGGATGTGAGGACCTCAGGGACACCCCCAGAGCCTTCAGTTTTTCAGCTTTTGCAGGTTTTGCACCAACCCTTTGGGGTGTAGTCCATGGTTTTGGCATGTGGGGTGCTGGGGGTATGTCAGCCCATGTGTTTCCATGGGAGCAGGTGGGATTTGTTCCTTTTTGGCCAAGAACACCACCCAGGGAAGGCCAGGGACCTTCTGAGCATTTAATTTTTCCTGTGATGCCAGCTACTAAGAATAACACCCACCTTCCTCACTCAGCAAGAAAAAGCAGGGGCTTCTCCCCAGCTGCCGTTCCAGCAGCATCCTCTCCTTACAATCGTGCTCAGTCACCCCCCCAGCCCCTGTGCCGTGTACCCCCAGCCCCATTTTGGCCAGAGAGCGGTGGGTGAGTGCCGGTGCCAGTCCCACCAACCCCACCATGGGGTATCCCCCATCTAGTCTGAGATCCTGGGGAGCAGGCAGCTGTTCTTGCAGCGCCATTGTCTGGACGGTGCAGCCGCAGCAGGGATTGCTGGGGCGGTGTGGGAGCAGGCAGGAGGTGATGCTGTCACCTTTCCGTGCCTCTTCCTGACTTTGTCATCCTGGGGACCTTTGTGTGGTTCCCATTTTTAATCTGTTTTTTTCTCCCTCTCACTCTTTCTCTCCTTCTCTCTTCTCTTTCTTCTCTCCCCCTCCCATCAGCATGTGGGTTGATCACTGCTCAAACTTTTAATTCAGATGGTAATTGGAATAATAATACGGGCAGAATCCTTCTGGCTCCGTTGCTGCAGCTGGCTTCAGGGAGCTATGAATAGCTCTGAGTCACACACTGAGATGGTTTAACTTCAAATCATTTTGTTTTGTTTTCATATTACCCATCCTCAGGCTCCAGAGCTTCACGGGGGAAAAAATATCCCCCCTTCTCACTCCACTCCAAAATATAAACCGGGCAGAGGCACATGAATAAAATCCTCTTTTGGAGAGGGAAACTGGTCAGCGGATCATGCCTTGAGGGGCAGATGGGGACTGTTGGCACTTAATCTATTTATAATTATTGAACGAAAAGGCAGAAGTGTGTATATAAAAATGGTATAGAGTTGATTACAGCTTCCTCCCCTCACCTTCCATATGTCACTTGCCTTTTTAATATGGTAAAACTCTCCTGCACGGTGACTGAGCCTTCGCGTGTGCCCGTACAGCGCCTGGCAGCCTGCCCTGCCGGCACGGAGTGGCGAGAGCTCGGCCGCTGGCTCTCGGGGCAGGACAGGGCCCCACGGCACCCAGCTGCCCTGCGAGCCCCAGCATGAACCCTGGGGATGTTGGTGAGGAGTAGGAGGAGAGATGGAGCTACAAAGAGGATGGGGAGGACACACCGAGTGCTGCGGGTCTGCAAGGCTCTGCAAAAAGCACCCTCTCAGCTGCGGGTGCTTCCGCCCTGACTCCCCAAGAGGCGAGAAGTTCGTCTGGCGTGTTGTCACCGTGCCCGAGCTGGCAGGATGGGTCTGTGGACACTGATCCAAGCCGGCAATAGGGACAAAGGCACAAAGCGGAGCGCAACCAGCGGCTGCGGTATTGACCACAGACAGGAGGGAAGCATTTGCCAGACAACTCCAGATAAAGCAAAGACTAAGAGTGTAAAAATACCCTGGGATTTTTCCATCGTTGCCGTTCACAGTGTATGTCCCAGAGCACCAGATATGGTTGTTATAAAAAGAGAAGTGGGGGAGTGCTTAAGCGTGGACTTTTCTGTTCTGTTTCATGAGACTCTTCCATTGCAAATTTAAGGAAGGATTGACAATATATGATCTACTCTGGCAGGAGCTGGAGAAAGACTGGGACTTGTGAGGCACTGCACTGTGTACAGGGGATGGAGCAATAGAGGTATTGCCCCAGCACCAAGCTCCTCGACCTTATTATCCTGCAAATCCCTTGGAAAGGGACAGCAGCAGCACAGCCCCACGTGTCTGCTCAGGGCCAGAGCAGAACTGGGGTGGCAGCGTGGGCTGGTGTGATGGCTTGTGCTGCTGGAGCACAGTGTCACACGGGAAAGAGGAGATGACTGCAACACCGTGGTGGTGTCCCTGGCATTGCTCAATCTAAGACACAGGAGGGGGAAAGTGGTTGGGAAAGAGGGAAGGTTAGCACATGCTTTGGGGCTGGAGACCCATCTGGCTCCTTGTTTCAATGCTGCAAGGCAGTGGCCAAGACATCCATGCTGCAGCAGCTTTCAAAAGTGCTGGGGGCTCCTGCAGGCCATGAAACACTTGGGTGTTCACGTACACCCAGGACAGGCAGCAGGGGGATGGGGAGACATCTGTCCAGGCTGCAGCCTCCTGCCTAGCATCTCTCCTTGCTGCACCCACCAGCTTGGTTTCAAACCACTCCATAGGAATTACCACTCACTCTGCAGCTTCCTCCTTCACATGTGGGTCTCAGGAGGCAGAGCAAGCTCCAAGAAATGTCCTCAGGCATGCTCTGGATTTGTGTCTCTGTCCTCAGCCAGGCTTTCCTCCCCCTTGTCCATGTGACAAGCAGCTGCCTCTTCAGGATATGAATATAATCTCCTTCTGCTGGAGACACCTTTGAGCCTTCCCCTTTCATTCCATTTCTGTTTCAGCTTTCCAAGTGGCAATGGGACCTTTTCACAGCCATTTGAACTATATTTGCACAGGCTTTGGGCTCCCGGTAAGGCCCCTGGCCTTGCCAAGCTGGTGGCATCGATTTTGCCAGCAGGGATGTCAGTGGTGGCCCAGGTCCACCAGCTGCTGAGGAGGGACAGTGACCCAGTGTGGAGCAGTCCCCAGCCCAGGCGTTTCTTGCCTGCCTGTCTGTCCTTCCCATGGCGGCACCACGCGCTGTGGGGGTGTGTTGGGGTGGAAGTGGGAAATGTGTTTATTTTTGTTCGTCTCCTGGCTCGTGCCGCTCTGAGTTTGTGGCACTCGGTATTACTAACACTTCCCTGTGCCAGCTGGCAGCAGAGGATGAATCAGATTGGCAGCACCACAGCATGGACCCTTCACGGCCGTTCAGCTTAGAGTGATGCCTGTGGCCAAAATGCTGGTGATGTCTCCTGCCCCTCTCCAGGGTGAGCCCCACCCCAGTGCCAGCGGCTTGGCCTTGCTGGTGGAGATGTCTCAGTACCCTGTTGTCCCCTCTGACCTGTGCTGCCTGCCCAGGCTGGATCATCCCTGTCCCTCCTTAACACTGGAGGTCTCACTGGTGGCTTCGTGAGCTGCTCTCTGCTCACTGGCAGCATCCTCAAACTGGGGTCAGCTCTACAGCCAGGAGGACAGCATATCCTCATGATGCCAAAAACACCTTTTGCAGTTGTGCTTTGACCCCAGCAGGCAACTTAAATATCACTCAGCTCCTCTCTCCCTCTCACTGCCCCCAGCCCCAGTGGGGAAGGGAATCAAAAAGAAAAGGTAAACTTTGTGGGTTGAGATAAGAACAATTGAATAATTGAAACAAAATATAACAATAATAAATATGTTAATAATATTATTATTAATATAATAATAGTAACAACAATAACAATAACAATAAGCAGAGAGAGAGAATAACGGGACCCAAGGGAAACAAGTGATGCACAACCCAGTTACTCACTACCCAATGACTGATGCCCAAACAGTCACCAGCCTCTTCCAGGTAACTCCCCCAGTCATATTCTGGGCATGATGTTTTGTGGCATGGAATATCCTTTTGGCTAGTTTGAACCAGCTGTTCTGGCCATGCTCCTCCTGCAGCTCCTCAGTGGCAGAACGTGGGCAACAGAAAACTCCTTGGCTTGGAGTAAGCCACTACTTAACAACAACTCCAACATGTCTGTGTTATCAGCATTCTCATACTAAATCCAACACTGTGCTGGCTACTATGAAGAAAATTAACGCAGTCCTAGACAGAATCAGGACAGCAGTTGATTGCTTCCTCCCCCTCCCCTGCTTCTGACAACTCAGCACACATGGAACTCGATGACATCACAGACCTTGGAATGTTGGTGGTGCCAGTTGTCCCCAGCGCTGAGATGCAGAGGTATGTGGTTCTCCACTTCCTCCTGAACATCCTGGTGCTCTAAACAGAGGGGTTTTGTGGCCACAACAAGCCTTGCTGAGGCTGCAGAAGGTGGCACACTGCTTGTCTACGTCCACAGCCTGCATGGCCTGCACTCCAGGACGACAATTTGGATTCTCCTGGTTGATGCAGCCCAGAGCATCCTGAAAAATGTCAGAGCCATTTCGCGTCTTTGGGCTAATGATGATGGTCTACCCAGAATCTCAAGGCTTGCAAGGTGATGATGACGATGATGGTGATGATGATGACAATGAAGAATCAGGGAACTCCAGCCATTCCGAGCTTCCTTCACCCTTGTGCAAGAACAGTGACAGCCCAGATGACAATCAGACAGAGTGTCTGGGAGAATTCACCCTGCTTTCCCCAACTCCTGGGCACTTGGTGGAAGATAAACATGTGGGGTTGGCCAAGCATGCGCTGGAGCTTGAGCCAGAAGATCAGAAGTTTCAGGAACCATTTTACAAAGACATGGGAATGTCTGACAGCTTGGCTGGAGATGAGGAGCCCAGCCTGACCTATCACCGTCCTGGGCATCAGAGGTTGCCTGCTCTCCAAAAGACCAATACAGCACCAAGTGGTTTCCATGACTCTTTCCAGCACAGCTCAGGCCAGCACTTGGGGACAGAGGCCACTGCCACACAGGCCCATGCCAGTGACCATTACGTGGAACACCCAGAGAGCGCCACGGGAGCAGAGCCCCAGGTGCTGCTGGAGGAGGATGGTGAGGACAATGAGCATAGGGAGGACAGGGAGTTCCCGTCCCTGCAGCCGACCTACGACTTGCTCTGGCAGGAGAACGGCATGCTCAGGTCAGAGAACAAACTGCTCAGGAACGTGAACTTCATGCTCATGTCGGAGAACTTTGCACTCAGTCAGGCGCTCAAGGAGCTCAAGAAGGCCAGCACTGTGGTCGTGGAGGGGGATGTAGTGCTCAGGGAGGAATACAATGTGCTCAGGGAACAGTGTGACAGGCTTGAGGGTGAGAATGCTGCACTCAGCAGGGACAATGCCATGGTCAGGAGGATGTTGAACACCTTCCAGAACAACTTGAAGAGACAGGCGTGCATGGTGGTGAGCCTGCAGGATCAGCTAAAGGCCAGCCAGGTGGAACGAGAGAGGGCAGCTGGGCAGTTCCAGTCCTTAGTCCAGGAGACTGAGTGTCGTCTTCAGATAATGAAGGAGCGGGCTCTGAATGCCGAAACAAATGTGGAGAGGCTGAAGCACAAGATCTTTATTCTCCAAGGACAGCTGGAGAGATGCAAGCTGGAGAATGAAAACCTGAGAACAGACTGGCCTGGAAGCAGTGAAGCACAACTTAGAGTTCACCAGGCAAAACTCCCACGAGCTCATAATGGGCAAAGATGCCTCCCTCAGGCAGCTCCTGTCTCAGGAATGCTGCCTGATGTTGCTGAGGTCCTTGAATCTACAAGAAAAATTCTTAAATTTTGAGCAGACAGAGGTCTTTGAGTGCAATTCTGTGTGAGTTCCATGGATCCATGTATGGTCTGAGGCCATCGTCTCCCACTTGCAAACATTTACTGCAAATTAAAGCATTTCCTTTCCCATTCTCAAATGTGTGTGCTCAGACTGGTATCCTTTATCCTTTGTGGAAATACATTCTTTGTGATTAAGTACTAGTTGCAGGTAGTGATGTGGCTTTAGCTGCTGATACTCTGTTCAGGCACTGTGGACCCAGCAGCAAAGGCTGCCCAGGCTCTGAGTTGCACGGTCCAGCCATGGTGGACTCCGTGCAAGAGGCTCTGCCACAGCTCTGGCTGACATGAGCTCCCTTGTGGGAGCCAGGAGGAAGCACAGCACCACAGGATGCAGAGCTCTTCCTCAGCGTGCTCATCCCATCCCACAACAGTACCAGCCTGAACTGGGGATGAACAAAGCCCTTGTATTTCATCTGCTTCCTTTGCCCCTTGGGAAAGGGGTGAAAGGTAAGGAGCAGAGATCCAGGTGTTGCTGCACGTGGTCTCACAAAGCTGCTTAGGTTCTCCCTCCTTTCTTTTGGTGCTGGCTGCTGCCTGGGCCAGAAATCCAAAATCTCTAGAAATGATGCACCTGTTTCTGCAGCTGGAGAGTGAGTTGTTGGTTGTAGAAACTTTCAGGAAATTGTGAATTACTCATATGTGTGAGCTGTGACAGTGCCTTCCCTGTGTTATCGGGGTTAGTGCTGGCTAAGGATGAGTTTGGCATATCCAGGCTGGCTGAGAATTATGCCAGTTGAAGAGGATGCCCTTTCTTTTCTGGCTGGGGCTGGCATAGAAGGGTGTGCCTAAACTGCTCACCTTTTCCACCTCCCAAAGGCATGTAGGACCCTGCAGCCTCACCATGTAATTGCTCTAGTTAGCTTTATCCCAGCAGGACCATCTGTGGGTATGAAGTGACCTCTCTGCATCATATCAGCATTTCTGGATAACTTAGGTTACCAGCTCCAGGGTCTGCTATAGGTTTACCCAGTTGCACAGCAGAAATTCCTGGCCAAACCGACCTCATAAAGACTTGGATGTTGTCGGGCAGTAAACTGGTGGGAGCTGGCAGAGTTCAGTGTCAAAGTGCTTTCTCCTGATGGGGATTTTGGGGCAGCTGTTCACTTTTGTCTCTATATTGTGAGTTGTGGATTACAATCTTGTTTTCTTCTTCTGGTCTCATAATACCCTTGGTCTGAGCAACCATGTTTGTGTTGCTGCAGAGCTTTAGCTACCTCAGTAACTGAGTAATCTTCATCCCATCAGATGTGATGGCTGGAGCTTCCTTCTTGCTTCTTTCCAGCCTGTGGGCCTAACTGGGGAAAGCTGGTGGGCACCCCTGGCCACGTGCCGCCCCATTTTGCGGAACTGATAATGAGACAAGGATGGTTCTCATCAGGTTTTCCATCCTAGGCAATATAATTTGCTGTTCCTCTCTCCTGTCCACGCACAACCACTTGCAAGCAGCTCTAAGCCTTACACTTGCTCCCAAAATCCTTGTATTTTTTCCTATATCTGGCAGCCAGTGGCTGTTCATTGGTGAGGCTGGGAGGAAGCAAACTAGCTGGCTCTGTCTGCATCTGCACTCCTCACTGGCTGCTGTAATCCAAAGGCTACAGTGCAGGATTAGCATGGGTGTACAAAGCCCTTCCTAATCTGTGAGTCATTACCCCCTCAGTGCATTTCACTCCCAGCAGCTCTGGGCAGGTGGAATAGGCTGGGTCTTGAGTCTTTGGCTTCCCCATTCTTCCATTCTGGGAGAACTGGGCTGGGACATCTGCTGGACATCTTCCCAGGACTCTGCTGCTGAGCTGCTCCTTGGGTGCTGTACACACGGCATGTCGCAAGGTTTGTTTCATCTAACTGGCTTCTCCTTGGCTACCCCTGAGCCCTTCCTTTCCATCAGTTCTTTTGGGCTCTACCCATTGCTTTCTTTCTTTTATTTGAAATGGGGGGG